GCTGCTTTTTTCAAGGTTTCTCAAGAACCATTCGAGCCACAGAATTCGTTTTGGCATCGTTGGATAGAGAATGGAAAAGTCGATTCAGTCGTAACAACGTGAGTTTTAAATTCGAGTAGTTTTGACCCAGAAAGTGAAATTTGAATATCAGACACTTAGGTGCAAGATTATGCCAAAATTTAATGTTTTCCGTTCCGTTTTTGCTCATATCTCGGAGGCAAAATGAACAAGAACGCTCACGTGTACATCATTCTAGAGAGAAATAAATGGCCTTTTTAGAAAGTGAACCATCGATAAGGAAATGTTGGCAGTTTTCTCAAAAAATGCTTGAATTCAATAAGTTTTAGATTTGCGTGGTTTTTTTTGAGTTGCAAAATCCACTTGAACATGACGCTGCTTTTTTCGAAGTTTCTCAAGAACCATTCGAGCCAGAGAATTCGTTTTGGCATCGTTGGATAGAGAATTGAATGGGAGGGTCACGACCCCCATGACCCCCCCTGGCTCCGCCCTTGGGAGTAATTTCCAAAAAAATAGCCACTTTTGTCTGCATTATAGATTTGGTGTAACAACTATATTTCCCGCATTTTGTTTCGAAGCAGTTTTTCGAATGGTTCTCGGGCTCCCTCCTCCCCGAAACTCCCTTTCGCTTCTTCAATTTTCAACTCTTGTTATCGTAACTTTCACTATAAAAAATTGGGGTATTTCCCTTAAACTACTAGAAATTCGGATAAAACGGGTTTACTGTTCTCAATTCTCAAATTTCCTTCAGAATGAGATTTTCTCTTTAGACCTCAAGAGTCGACTTGATGAGTTTTAGCAGCCAACGGTTGTTGTTGCGGTAATGATTAACATGCACAAATTGCGAACTTGTAACTGATTCATAGTTGCAAAAGTCGTCGTCACAAATTAAGCACAATGAAACTTCGTCGGTGATTTTGCAATAATTGACCAAGCAAACCGTGTCAAGTTGAACATTTTTTGGATTGCGTCCAAACATTCAGTCATCGGCATCGCAACTTACACGCGTCTATCGGTGGACTTTTGTTTTTATTTTCAGACTCACCAACCACTGCGGCCACCGATTATAAGAACTGTTTTCAAGAAAAATCCACAAAAAATTGCTTAGCTATCGGCAGGTTTTCGGTCAAACAGGTTGTTGAATAGGGGCTGATTTCGGGTGCTCTGGTTGTATCTAATGACCCTTTAACGGTTTCCCTGTTGAGTGAAATCTATTTTCGTGTTATGTGTAGCCAATTATAGCGGAAATTGGATTTGAGATGCACGTGGATATTTAATAAAAAAACCGTTTGTTCTCTTTTTAAAGCAGCGATGAATGGTAAATTAGTTCGGAGGAAAAAGCGCTGAAGGTCTGACACGTGTGGGTTTAAATAGTTACATGTGTTTTGCGTTAATTGAACTATCCATGTTCAAAAATGCACTTAATAAAGGTAGCTCATTTCTCAGCCATACAATTTTCACATTTTGTAGATATTTAGTTGCAGTATTAAAATTGAATTTAAATCGTTATTTGTGTATTTTCCAGTTGATCCATCCGAAAATCGCGTTTTTACAAAATACACCGCTAACAAAAGTTGGTAGTAAAAAGATTTTGTACAAGAAGAGCCTATTGTTAGCTTTAAAAAGGCCAGTCTGATAAACTAGAAAATGTCCTTTGGTTTTAAAAAATTGGCCCCATGCTGTTTTGTTGGTTGCAGACAGCGATTTTTAGAGGTTGTTTTAGCCACTGACAACCCTATCAAATGCTCAGACTGCCAGCAAAAATCCATCTAAATCGATGTTAAATGAGTTTGGAGGCGTTTTAAATCGACTAATTAAATTCTCAGGTAGATTAAAAAAGAATAACCGATTAAAATCATTTATTTAATATAAATTTGAATTTTGTATGAATGCACGTAAGCAATACTTCAGCATATTTCTTCTCATTGCTTTTGCAAAAAAAATGATCAACTAATTCCTGTTTTTTTTAGGCAAAATCAGTCAAGCAGTAATTGAGCAGCCATGCATAAGAATCTCTAGTCCAAGCAGTTCCATGGAATAAGTAAGTTCATACACTTTTCTACAGTTTACATAGACTCCCTCCGTCTCACTGGCCTGAAACGAATCTGCAAGGGGGCTAAAGGAATCTTTTAGGTGTTGCATCAAGGTATAATCGGCAAGTTGTAAGTGTAACTCCTGGGAGAGATTCGTGCCTTCATTATAAAACTGCTGAAATTGAAACACTGTTCAAACCCAGCACCCCCAAACGCATCTTACCTGTTCACATCTTTCTCCAGCTTTAATCCAGAGTGATCAGCGAACGCATCGGCACAAAACAGTTACAAATAGTCAAAAAAACAAATTGTCAGGGTGGGTCAAACAAGCACTAGCATCGAGTGGGCCAAAAACAGTCAGTTCTTTCACAGAAAAGGCATTTTCTCTCAAAAACACGACGACTCTATTTTATATTTATCAAGAAAAGTCCGCTCAATACTTTCGAGACAAAGGCATCGAAACGCGAGAGCGTCCGGGCTGCATCAGTAAACTGCCTGCTTGCTTTCAGGTTCAGGCTTTCGGACAAAAACAAATGTGAACGCTCTTTCAGGACCTTTAACCTCCATTGGTAAGACAAAGATGCCTGAGGACTTGCGCTTCACACTAATTGTCCTTAGCAAGTAAAACAGCCAGGGCCCTCTTTTGCATTGAGATCGAACTACCGGTAACAACAGAAGAGGTCTGCAGCTTACCTCAGTACATTTGGCTGCAATATGGGAATTATCAACAAATCAAGTAGAAAAATCCTGCATTCTCCTCATGAAAGGGAAATTATGACTTTAGTTTGGTCCTTTAAGCCAAAAATTGGGGATTTTGTTCAAGTTGGGCTTGACAATTCTCCAAGAGCTCTATCTAGCTCATACTATAACCCCAGATTTTGACATTTTCACTGACACTGAATGTTTTTACTAAGAAAACATTCATTAATTAATTGATTAGTCTATTAATTGCGCTTTTAACTTATTGGTTTAATTCATTTCCGGAAAATTAATCTCCATTTGTTTGCCAAAGCGCTGGACTAGAAGCAGGAAAACACCTTGATCAGTGAAAAATGAGTCAAACATCTAAACAATGTTAGCCACTCATCTGGATGTATTCAATATTGTTCAGGCTAAGTTCTTGGCAGCTGAAGTAGTAAAAAGCGTATCCTTTTCCATGCAGGCAAGCTGCTACGTTCTTCACTAGTTATATTGAGCTCCATTAGCCTGTATGATCCACTCAGATGAATAGAGAATGTTTGAGCAAGCAGCTAACTCGTAGAACACTATTTGAAACACCTAGCTCTAACTCAAACTAACATTCAATAGATTTATTGTTTATTTAGATTCATTAAGGCTAGATAATACTCCTTTCCTCTGATCACATTAAATACCTTGGATTTCCAGCAATTGTATTCCTTAAATTTCCTCCAGATTAATTTAAATGTATCGATAGTGGATGGGCCACAAAATAACAGTAATAGAATTTTGGCTTTAGTGGAGTACAACAATTCTTTTGCTTTATTTGTGCTTGTCTCCTCCCGAACTCAACCAGTAAGCTTTTCTGATCTGTCGATCGAAACTGTTGTTCCTGTTGATCAGAGCTTTGCTTGTGGTAAGTCATTACCATCATCATTTACAGTAGAAAAAAATGTTCGCTTTTAGAAACAGAGCCAGTTGCCGGTCAGAATCATGTTATACTGGTAATAAAGTACAAACAGAATCGATATGAATATAACATAGAAGTGGGAAAAGAGAGTTGTAATTTTGCAGCGGAACTTATCAGGTCCAAGGAGGGTAATGGCAGGATTTTAACTCAATTAGCAGTCAATTTTTCTAAAGGCTGCTCTTTTTTTCAGTAGTATCAACCAGCAAACCAAACTTTACCTGGCTGGAGAAGTACTTTGGCACCATGAATCAGTCCAATAGGAACTCGGACCCCATATCAGATCAAGTAAGACTCCAATTCGCCACTTTATTTATTTATTTGCGATTGAATTTTAGCTGCTTTTTGCTACTAGGAGAGCATGGCTTTGTATTAATAGCGAAAATTCTAGTTGATAGGCAAAACTCACCAGCGTTTTTTTAAATAAAAACTTGCAAATATCTTTGGTGACAAGTTTTGCATCTGTTTTGTCAGAGTGTAGGAAAACAGGTCTTAGGATGATAGTTTCCACCGCTTCCGAGATATAAACGAACGAGTTTAAGCATTGATCTCAATCGCATGGGTAAAAGATTTCTGCAATCCTTCTTTCGAACTTAATATTAAAAAAAAGTGAGCCGATAATCAATCCTCACTAGCTCATACTTGACTTCCCCTTAAATTTTAAGTCGACTAGTTTGGTTCGGACCCCACGTTCAATCACCAGAAACTGGCATGATTTTGGGGAATCTCAATATGTATCTAAAGATTACCTTTTGACAAAAACCACTTGCTAGGACATTTAGGATCATTCAAAAATTGCCTGAGTGTCTGCAAATTGATAAAATGCCTGTTATCAGTTCAATAAAACATCTTTTATCTGTAGGATTAGTATATACATTTGCGCTGTAATTAGCTAGGCCAGTAGTAAGGGTTTCAGCTACTGGTTGATAACATCAAAATGTCCTTTTTTCAGTCCGAATTCGTGTTAGTTCGAGATGGAATGACCCAGGGACAAACTGCCATTAACAGAGAGTCTATGCTCCGATATCAGCTGAAGTTGCGGGACTCAGAATTTACACAGAAACAGGAATTTACGTAAGTCAAACAATAGAAAAAGGACTGTTTTGACTACGCAGCTTTTTGTCTGCAACATAGAATTTTCGTTGGAACTTGGAATGTAAACGGTCAACCATGCAGCGCCTCCTTAAGATCCTGGCTTAGCTACGATGAAAATCCTCCTGATGTGTATGCCATTGGTTTTCAAGAGATCGACTTGAGCAAGGAAGCATTTATTTTCAACGATACTCCCAGAGAAGCCGAATGGCAGTGAGTTCGAAACCAATCACTGAAAGCCTTGTCCAAACTTTGCCAATTGCAGAAAACTGGTAATGGATGGATTGCATCCGAATGCGAAATATAGATTAGTGGCTCTAGCCAGGTTGGTTGGGATGCAGCTGGCTGTTATGATCAATAACCAACATTATCAGCACGTTCGCAATGTGTCTTTCGATACTGTCGGCACTGGTTTATTAGGAAAAATGGTAGATATTTTCCAAAGTGAATTAAGATTCGTTTTGATGCGAGTTTCGTGCATTTTTAGGGCAACAAAGGAGGAGTGGCAGTTAGACTCGAGCTCCATAACACGTCCCTTTGCTTTGTTAACTGCCACTTGGCGGCCCATGTCGAAGAGTACGAAAGGCGAAACCAAGATTACAAGGACATCAATGCGAGGATTAATTTTCGAAGAAACCCTCCAGCCATTAAGGATCATGAGTGAGCAATTTAATTTATTTTCACATGTTTTAAAGAGTGTTTTAACGATTTTTTCGTTTCAGCCAGGTATACTGGTTAGGGGATCTAAATTATCGAATAACCGACTTGTCGAACACCCAAGTAAAAGTGCTGTTGCAGCGGAACGAAACGAACGCCCTTCTCAAAGTGGATCAATTAAATCAACAACGCGAAAGGGGTAATGTGCTTCTGGTAAGTTCCTCCCCTAGCAGTGAGCGCAAAAAACAAACAAACTTTTTAGGACTACTTGGAGGGCGACATCACCTTTCAGCCCACCTATAAGTTCGATTTATTTACTGATGTCTACGATACCAGCGAAAAAGCACGCCCTCCCGCCTGGACTGATCGGATATTATGGCGTGGTCGAGGCATCCATCAGCTGTACTACCGGTAAGTAAAAAACGCAGTTTTATAATGAATAAATATGGTTCGTGTTTTTGTTTTGTTTCAGGAGTCATATGGATTTAAAAGTAAGCGATCATAAGCCAGTCAGTGCGTTATTTAAATCGGAAATTAGTGTGGTGGATCCAACGAAGTATCGGAAAGTTCACGAAGATCTGCTGAAGAAGATGGATAAGCACGAAAACGAATTTTTGCCTCAAGTGACGGTCGATCAAACTGAGGTCACATTCGATTTGGTTAAATTTCGTGAGCCGCAATGTAGGGATATAATTATTGCAAACACCGGAGTGGTAAGTCGCTCTATTGATTTTTGCATGCAAACGTTCATGAAACACGCACGAGGATCGAGAGTAGCTCTAGCTGTAGGTCTTTAGACTATTGTTCTACAGAACGCTGAACTTCTTCAGGTCCCAGCAGAATTCGAATTTATTAAAAAATTGGATGAATCTTTCTACTGCAAAGACTGGCTACGGATTGTGCCTTTTTCCGGCAGCATCAACCCAGGTAAATTCCGTACCCAGTGCGAATTAAGCCTGATGATGAATCTGCTGATTTAGGTGAAAAATGCGATGTGAGACTGGAAGTGAATTTAGAAACCGACCTGGATACCTTAGACGATATATTAGTTTTGCACTTGAAAGGCGGCAAAGACATGTTCATCATAGTTAACGGAACGTGCCAAAAGTCGTGCTTCACACAGTCACTGTCTTCACTGGTCCGAATACAAGTGCCCATTTTGCACTTGAGCGATGAAGAGTGGAATTTAGCGGTAATTCTATGAGTAAAATCCAGCCAGTTTAGCTGAATTTTAACTTACATTGCAGCGAAACAATATATCGCCCATCTACTATTCGGTGCCCAGAGAACTGTGGCTTTTAGTAGACTATTTATACAGACACGGCTTGAAAACTAGAGATCTTTTTGAGTCTTGTGCGCTTCACGAAGAGCTCATACACATCCGCGATTGGCTAGATTGCGGATCTCAAGAACCAATTCGTATCCTTTTCTACTGATTGGATGCACTAACCGTGATTGAGTTTGAGCATAATTTTTCTTAACAGTTTGCTTTAGCTGGAACGCCGCAAGCCATCGCCGAATCGCTTCTATTGTTTTTGTCTTATACCAAAGACCCAGTCATTCCGTTTGAGCTTCAAGATGTTTGCATTGCTGCAGCCAACAACTTCGAAAACTGTCGACAGGTAAATGGTATGAGTTTCTTCGGAAACTGAGCGAAAACATTGAACATTTTTAGTTGATTCTTCAAAAAGTGAACGACATTCACCGTACAGTGTTTCTCTACGTCTGCATGTTTCTACAAGAGCTGTTAAGGTATAGCAACGATAACGGTTACGATGCCAAAACGTTGGCTTCGCTGTTTGGGGATATATTACTTAGAGATCAGATTAGAAACTCCAAGCCACAGGCCAGTAGAGGGAAAGCTAACTTTGTATACAATTTTCTTATGAATGATCTGAGCTCATCGCTTCTTCCGAAGTGAATTAGCAACAATAATCAGGTAGGATCTAGTAAATGAGCAACTAATAATCTAATAGTCTGCAAATTCGAACAAGTATATTAATTATCCTGTTGCCATTGGCTTTGCGGAAAGTAGATGGCTTTTTGTGTTTACATTTTGTACGAGTTGAACAAATAATAATTCTGAGAAGAATGTGGTTTTAAATAAGTGCAGAGTTTGGTGTGTGTAAAATGTAAAAGTAATCTTGTAAATGTTTTAACACTTAATAATTTATAAACTAATTTGCCAGTATTTTTCTAGTTTTACGTTGAGATGGGTGTTGAAATTTCAACATGTTTTATTCAATTAAATATTAATAAAAATAGTTATCTCTATACAGGTTTTTGTCTTATTCATAGAATTGATTCTATGCTAAGTGTTTTATTTCTCCTTACTTTTACATCGATGCTTTCTTCCCCGTTGGCTTTAATTGACAACACCTCTACTCGAGCCACAGTCATAAAATTGGGGTTTCTTACATCAGGCCCTTTGATGAGATCAACTTCATCACCTGGGTGAATTGTAACACTTTTCTTGGATATTTTCTGCCCATTTACGAGAATTTTGTTTTCGTAGAACAGGGTTTCTATTTTATTTCGTGCTATACCCAGGGCCCCCCTCAATATACCATCGACTCTCAACGATGTGACACTTAGAGTCATAACTTTGCTGTGTCTGTTCAGAACTGGGTCTTCACTGAGTTCTGAGTTCTTCGGATCTGAGTCGCTGTCGCTATTTTGTTTTTTCGAGCGTTTGCCTTTGTGTCTCACTACTTGATAAACCGCCACTCTGGGGCATAATATCGATTGTGAAAATGGTCGAATTGCAGACGATAGTGTCTGGCTGTTTGGGACACTTTTAAGTAAAGTGTAGCTGGCAATTTTTAGGCAGTTTCTAAGCATTTTCCCCAAAGTACCGGATAATTTGTTTTAATGTATAACAATGTGTTGTGATGGGTGATGTAACCATACTTTTTAAAAATTGTGCACCTTTTCATTTTACTCGGAGTTGTCACTGCGGTTGTGATCTTTAAACGCTGTTGCAAATGGTCAGTGCAGAGTATTCTAGAGAAGCACAAATACCATAGATCAGTTACTTGCGCTTTTTTCTACCAGTTTTATCATCTATTTAAGTTAATTTAAAATTGTCCTCGCTAGGTCTTTTGTTGGCGACACTGAAGCTTAATGGATTGCGAGCAGCTAAAACAGAAAACTGTAACGGAATCAGGAAAGCTTAATCTGTCGTACCCCAGATATCAAACAATGACTCATTTTCGAGGTTTTGCCAGCTATCAATTTGTACTTTTCGGGCAATTTTGTATTTTTTTGATTGAAAAACGGCTTGAGAATGAATTGGGTGCGTTGCAACAAGTGCTTCTCCAAATTGGAGTCCAGCATGAAGTTCTACTTAGCGGAGTGCGGCCACATTTTCTGCAGCAGGTGTTTAATTAAGGGTGGTAAGAAATTTTTGAGATGTTAGCCCTAGTTTGAACTTGTTCTTTGCAACTCGCAAAACGCAGTTTGCTATTCACAGTGCCCTCATTTTTTTGCGCTTTTCCAGGTTTAAGTTCGATAAAAACTACTTAAAATAACCGATTATCCCCAGCGGTTTTCGCATGTCAAATCTGACACGGAAATCGTCAATCGGTAATCAATACTCGAATTTTTCGGTTTATTAGTACAAGCAAAATTTAATCCCGAACAGTTTTGTCGCTTTATGAATTGGCGTAGTGCTGCGCAAATGTGTGTGCCAACCCAACGAACCGGCGCAGTAATTCACCGGGTCAGCTTTTCTTAATAAAGTAGCTCAGCAAACTCATATAAGTAAACTCGCATATTAGGCCGGGGTAACTCAGTGAATTTTTAGGAATTGGCGCAGTGCTACTCAAATGGCTTGCGCTAACCCAACGCATCGGTACAGTAACTTAGTTCCGTTGCTGAGAAAATGTTGATGACTTGTTTTACTTGTTTTTAGATTTATTTTAAGGGCCATTTATTAATAAAATGTTTCAAATTTCTTTAAAATTTCAGAATTTTTTAGTTTTAGTCAAGTTACTCTTTCTTCTAAATGCTTTTTCAATTTTCTA